CTTTTATCCAATAAAAAAGTGCTTAGCTTCCCCCTCTAGGTGGAACATCTCACAATGAGATGGTGTTATGTTACCAGCCCTGCATTGAATCAGTCAATGGCCCATTAACAAACCATTACCTCTTCAGAGCAAACCATTGTTCTTGGAAGAGATAACAAACCTGCCCAACCTCCAACAGATGGCAAATAGAATACAAGCTTATCTTACAAACCAGGACAAACCTTTTTCTAATACCTAACCTAAACCCCCTGATACATCTTCACGCCTTTCTTGTGAGTCCTGTCACTAGTCACCACAGGGAAGACATCGGTGTCTGTCTCTCATCTTCCCCTCTTGAGGAAGTTGGAACTGCAACGAGGGCTCCTCTCAGCCTTCTCTTCTCCGAGCTGAACAGACCAAGTGACCTCATACAGCTCCCCCTCAAGGCCCTTCACCATCTTCTCTATAGGGAGTTCTTGTTTATTCAGAAAGATTTTAATTTTAAGGCATTCCTTTCTTTAAGGAAATGACATTGCATTTTTGTACAATAACTTTTATGTTCGCAATTATGCTTAGGGATTCTATCAAAAAATGAAATGTCAGTCTTTGTATTTAAACAGTTAATAATTTGAGAAGTATGAATCTCACAGTTATTCACTGCTTTTGAGTCAGGTTGTTAAATCTGAAAACTTTGACATTATATTCAATGTTAGTGCTGTTGCCTTTCATATTCTGCATATATTTTTTGCAGTACGTTCCATCTTTAATCCTCTCTTTTCCTTCGAGAGGTGAATATTTGGCATGTGTTAAAAGTTAATTCAACTAGGGAGTTTTTAAGTTGCAGTATTTCTGAAAATATTGATTATTAGTTTCACCTACTTCTTCCTATATCTTGCAGTTTTAGTTTTATATCTCAGGAGTGCCACCGGTATCTTTGACCTGTAGTCAGTGAAAAACCTTTAGAATTTCTCAGCATCCATTGACGAAATCATATGGATATGCTTATTTTATTTAACCCAAGTATTCAATTAAGTTAAAACCTAAAATAAAAGCACCTCTAAAAACATGTGATTCTCTTTTCTGGTAAGAAAAAAAGTGCATGTTTAAAGCAAAACTCAGGTTATTCTATATTTAAAGTGGTATTTTTTTCTATCTGTCATTTAATGCAGATAAACTACTGTCAACAATTTTGTTGACATTTTATCATGTCAACAAAGAGATTTAAGAAGGTTTCTACAACACAATTGCAGATAATAGAACATAACTATATGTTTATATAGCTGATTATAATGTTGCTCCTCTAACTCAGCAAGAGGAAGAAAATAAGCTTCTTACATGCCATACATGCTGAATATGACTGTCTCACTGTACGTGTTAGTGAGAAATGCCACTGTACCACATAACTTTGCATGCATAAAAATTATATTGAGAAACCAAAATAATGTATTTATCAAGAAGCTCCAAGGGGAAAAGTAAATCTTTTCCCCTAATTAGTAACCAGGAAATTTTCCACTATGATTGAACATCCTGTTGAAATTATTAATTGACTTAATTTTAATAGAATAGAGTTGAAATTGTGGCATGGCTTTGCATTATGTTTTCATGTGTGCCAAATATACTACAGAAAACATATTTTTATTTTTATATGTAATTCAGTATCAGGTTTTGTCATAAATATAGGAAGGGCAATTTTCTAGGAATGTAAAACAATAAGTGTATGATAGCTCTAGAAGGGTAGCCAATCTGAAACATATTCTAAATCTTGCTTTATCAAAAGAGCACCTGGATTCCCCTATGAAAATGAGAGAATCAAAGAATGTAAATATTTAGTATTTAGCTTAAGAGGGAACATCTGCAGGTTCTTTTACTTTCAAGGTATTGGCACCAGAAATTACTAAATAATTACCAAATAAATAATCAAAGGTAATATATTAGTATCTGTGTGGTTTCTGAACAAGTAAACATATGCCAACAGTGACTGTTATAAACAAGTTGCATTATCCAATTAATTCCTGTAACAATATTAAAATTTTGTCATTTAAATAATCTTGCACATTTATTACTGGTGACACAACCTAGTCTACTTGAGCATCGTACATAAGTAATTTAAATTGAAAAACATTTTTATGAATTAAATGTATAAAGAAATTCTCACTAATGCTGCAGAACTTTTCATGTTCTATTAGCCAACATACAATATTAATATTATTCAGGATAGGGTTATAACCATCACTTTATCAAATAAATCAAATGAATCAAATAAATATGATCTTTTATTAGAAAATGCTCTAGTTTAACCTAGGGGTTGCAGTTCTTTATTTGTCTTTTATTATAGGAGGGCATAGTATCACAGTTAAAGTAGGAACTCTGTTATTGGAGAGCTGTCAAATAAAAAACTACAATAAAAGAATAAGGATTTATTCCTTTATTCTGATTCTGTGTTACTTTACAGGACTGTAATGTGTAACATTTGCTTTTCACTTAAGAATATGTCTATTAATATATATGCTTAATTCAGAGAAAACAAACTTAAACCCTGACAGATTTCTAATGTTAATTTTCTTAGAAAAAATGAGGTAATAAAGGGACAAATGCCATAAAGTGCAACACTGATACAAAATATCATAGTTAAAATTATTTCATAAACTTTTTTCAATGTGTCCTTATTGATTTGTACTGATAAACACTGATAACATGCTGGAAAATATATTCAGCTCATATTGTACACAAAGTATGCCAATGTTTTACACAGAGCAGCTTATGTAGCTCAGTGCAGAATTCTACTTAAGAAAAATGATGGTACCATATGTCTCTCTGCTGCTCAAAGTCTCAGTCTCCACTTCCACTGCTGAAAGTTGTTAATGTCAAAACAGATCAAGCACAACGTCACTGAAGAAAATTACCTTAAGGCAGATCTAACATAGAAGGCAATTTATCATTTAAAGGGACAATTCTCTTATGCTTATTTAACATTTTTCTGATATTTTGGAATTTGAGAGAGTCTGAGACTGAACTAATTAATATTTTAAATTACAAAGTGATTGCTAATGATCAGATGGGTAAAGAAGAAGGGTGATATCCATTTTCATAGTTTTCTGTATGGCAGAAGTCAAGTTAATTTGTAGACAAGTTAATATGATGACCCACTGTATGTCAATGCCAGCCACTAAATCCCACTCAGCCCCATGACAGAACTTCCAGTAAAGATATCACACAAGTTTTCTGTGGTTCAGTTATATTTTCTGCTAGGTTTAGTAACCCCTAATCATTTATTGTCTAACAGAACGATGTAGAAGTTCTGCTTCAATGCCAAGCTTCTCTGTGCCAAAATATAGGAAGAAATAGCACTTGCCTCACAGACCAAACTTTCAGAGGAAAGGTATAAAAAAATTAAGAATCAGTGATGATGAAGTCGTATTATTATATACTGAAATAGTTCAGCATTCTTCATTATTCTGATACATAAAAAACTATTTGTAATATTTTGGTCCATGGAAAGCAATAGCTATTAGCAATGCTTATAAATGAATTAAAGACTAGTTAGGTCTCCTAGTCAGAATTTCTTTGAAGTGCAGTTTTTAAGAAATGGTGTCAGGTATGATTTGGCTTCTAATTTGTCTATAATGTACCAGAAGGCAAAGCTAATGTTCACAGTGTGTAACACTTTGGGTTTGTTTTTTTTTTTTTTTTTTTTTTTTACCGCCAAAAGAAAATATCTTATATTCAAATATATTTTTTTAGTTCTGTGCTGTTCCTAGTCAGAATTTCTTTGAAGTGCAGTTTTTAAGAAATGGTGTCAGGTATGATTTGGCTTCTAATTTGTCTATAATGTACCAGAAGGCAAAGCTAATGTTCACAGTGTGTAACACTTTGGGTTTGTTTTTTTTTTTTTTTTAATTTATCAGCGCCAAAAGAAAATATCTTATATTCAAATATATTTTTTTAGTTCTGTGCTGTTTTATTTCAGCATTTCTGTCTTGGAATGCATTCTTAGTAAAAATATGGAATAGGAAAGTCATGTTTCTGAGGGGAGAAATGTTTTACTCTTGGTATTTATATTTCTCCTTTCTGCATGACTCTATGTTTGTAAACTGAATTTATAAACTTGCATCAATGCAGGCTGAATTCTCTGATATTACAGTACCCTGAAATTTCAGCCTCAGTAAGTGAGTCATGAATCTTTCACATTTTGTATAATTTAGTCATGAGTGTCTCAATTTCTTGATTGATAGTTCAATGTTTTATTATATATTAGGCTTATAGATGGAATCTTAGATCACTGTGCATGGAGTATAAGTTCTTCAATTTTGATTACAGCAGCCAGAAAATACTACATAAATAACTTCAAACCCTAAAAATCAAATTATATTTTCCCTTTTGAACTGTAAACAAAAATCTATCACCATAAAAACCCAAAGTAATTTAGTTACAATGGTATAAATTGGACTATGTAGACATTAGAGATAGCAGCATCACCTTCTAAATTTAGCAAATCCTAACTTTTAGAGGAAAGAAAAAAGGATATTTATTAAGAAAACACAATACTTATAACCAGAGGGGAAAAAAACGTGGGGTTTGGGTTAGGATAGAGAGGGTCTCACATCAGGGACTTTGACTTCTCTTTTAGGCAAGGGTCCACACTGACTGTTCTCTATCACCTTCTTGTCCTGCTTATCCTTGTGAATTGTTTCCAAGAAAAGCTGATAAATTACTTTCTCTAGTAATAAGGTCAGGACAAGTACCAGTAGTTGCTCAGATCCTTCTTGATTTTTTTGAATGTAGGCATAATTCATATTTCCCAGCCCTAAGGGAACTTGGCTTTTAACCAAGACCTCACAATGATATCATCCAGCACTTCTAACCATGTAGCTGATTTCATGGGATTGTAGAACTCCAGTTAGCTTATGTTGTCCTTTTTTAATTTTTCTGCTGTGGGTTGTTTCCCCTATGCCACACTGCCTTGAGGCTGAGTTCTGGAAGGCTTGAGAGCATATTTATCACCAAAGACAGAGACAAAAAAGCTAGCAAGAACCTGTTCTATTTCTGTGTCTGTTGTCAAATAAAGTTCTCTGGGTATAACAACATAATATTTCAGTCTGTCTTTCACTGGCAAAGTGACAGCAAAGGCCCCTCCAATCCTTTCCTTCCACAGCCAAATTGTTCTCTGCCCTGCCCACTGTGGGATGGACTCCCACGCCGGTGGTGGTGCCTACCTTCCATGCCACGCCTGCCATGCCACCGCCCCTGCTCACAGCAGGCTTCATCGTCCCACCCACCGCTTCTCCAGCAGCAGCAGCAGCAGCAGCAGCAGCAGCAGCAGCAGCAGCAGCAGCAGCAGCAGCAGCAGCAGCAGCCTCGCCTCCACCCACCCCGGGACCACCGGTGTCATTCCTGGGAGAAGCCGCCGCAGCCGCAGTGCTGCCCACTACGGCTCCGGTGCCTGTGCTGCCTGCTGCGTTGCAGCTGCGAGCGCCAAGAGCGCCGCCGCCGCCGTCGAGCTCGGAATCGGCAGAAGTGCCGCCCCCGGCCCCGGCCCCGGCCCCGCCGGGAGACGCGGCCGCACCGCCCGCCCCGCTCATGGCGGGGGAGGGGCGCCCACAGGGCGCAGCGGCTCCCGCTGCCGCACCCCCTGAAGCCGGCTCATCAGCAGCGGCTCCGCCCTGCGATCTGGCGACCGAGAGCCCCGTGTTGGACAATGAATCCAGCCCTTCATCCCCTCCAGACTGTGCCGAGCTCTGCCCCTCCGAGGGAGAGCCGGCGGGAGGGGGCACCGGCTTGGCCAGCAGCAGTGCTACTGCTGATGGTCCTGAAGCTGGGAATGAGGGGGGTGAGGTCGCGGATCAGGGAACTGTGCAGGGACAGGGGAGCAGCCCCTTG